TTGATTTAAACCTTATACTTTCATTTTCTAAGGCATGTCAGTTGAATGGCACAATTTCTTATGTCTTCAAGTTCTTGCAGGTGATGACAATGGAGCCGAGGAGCTGCAGCAGCTGGACTGTGAGACAGCTGGCACAGCGTGTTCAAGATTATGCATTGCACTCCAGCACTCTAGGTTTCAAAGGGCTTTATGCTGTGATGGGCCACTAAGGTGATCCCCAAGTAAGGAGAGTGATGGGTGTTGAGAAGAACTGGAGGTGGCCAGGGTTGGGGGCTGGGGGCAGATTATGGGGCTTTTCTAGAAGTCTAGATTGCAGATTGCTAGTTACTAGCCAGGGAGAAGGAAAGCAACGGCAGAACCATTGGCTGTGGTGGGTGATAGGGAGTCAGTCCCTGGGGGAGAAAAGATGGTTTCTAGTTTGGGTGACAGGAAAGTTCAGATTACAAAGTAAACAGGGAGGGAAAAAAGCCTTGGTGAGTAGAGCCTGTAATTCACCTCTCAGCAAGGTGAGTAAAGGTGGCATTGGGAGTCTGCTCAGAAGGGAGCGACTGTTCAGAAAGTGTAAAAATGGGGCGACGTCACCATGTGGATGAACATGTGTACTACGGAGAGTGTGTTAAGGCCAAAGAAGTTCAGGACAGAGTCTTGAGAGAAAGCAACATTTAAGAGAGAGTGAGGGTGCACCCCTCGCAGTCCTGAGTTCCTTGCTCGTGCTCCGTCTCCTTCTGCTCCTGATTTGGACCTTGAGATTTCTGTCCGGTGCTCCCATGTGGGTCTCTGTCTCTGTCTCCTTTCATCGCCTGATGAAGGTTAATATTCATGAGGATGCCTATGTGTTTGTCTTTGGATTCACCTTCTTATTTAGCTTCTCTAGGAACATGAATTATAAGCTCAATGTCCTTTATTTATGGCTAGAAACCAAATATGAGTGATGTTCTATTGGGAACTCACCAAGGCCAGCTGGCCTAGGTCTGAAAAAGCATGGGATAAATCCGGACTAGCTGAACATAGCGGACAATGAGGAATACTGAGAATTCAAGAACAATCACAGTGGGTTTTTGATCCTACTGCACGTACTGGCTTTGTGGGAGCCTAGGCAGTTTGGATGCTCACCTTATGAGACCTGGATAGAGGTGGGCAGTCCTTGGGCTTCCCACAGGTCAGGGAACCCTGATTACTCTTCGAGCAGATGAGGGAGGGGGACTTGATCGGGGGAGGGGGAGGGAAATGGGAAGCGGTTGCGGGGACGAGGCAGAAATCCTTAATAAATAAATAAATTAAAAAAAAAAGAGAGAGTGAGCGAGGCATGGCGGTGCACACCTGTAGTCCAAGCACCTCAGAAAGCTGAAGCAGGAGGATTGCTGAGTTTGACACCAGTCTGGCAAGACTACCTCAAAGCAACAGGCAAACGAACAAAGGAAAGTGGCAGACGGTTAGAAACAGGGTCTGGGACATGCGCAGAAGATACAGACGTCTGAGCATACTCCAGCAACATGTTAGGACATGCGCAGAAGATACGGACATGTGCGCATACTCCAGCAATATCTGTTAGGACATGGGCAACGGGGTCTCACCTTAGGGACAGCATGGGTAGCAGCACCAGATGTCCAGGGACAGTAGTGACACTGAGGCTGGGTGCCTGTTAGGGCAGTGTGGGTGGAGCAGCAGAGGCCAACTTCACCAGAGATTAACAGGCCAACTGGTCACAAATGTTTACATTATGAAATTAAAGCCAAAAGACAGGCAAGTGGATACTAAGCTAAAGGGTTCAGGGCTTTAGAGAGCCGAGGATAGTAGCTGCAGCACTCCCGTACCTATCCTTTTCTCTTTTAAATTTAAGAGATGCACGCTCTTAAATCTAACTACTGATGGGAAGGAGTAGAGAAGGGCAAGGGATGTGCTCAGAGGAAACAGGCTCCATGCTGGTGGATGGAGACAGCCACCTCACCAGGAGGTGAAGTCTGCCTCCACGGGGAAGCACAGGAAGAGGCAGAAGTGGGTGTGGTGGAGGGAGGGGCTCCAGTCTGCTGACGGCGAGGGGTGGGGGGTGGGGGAGAATGGAGGGGTGCGGTGCTGGGGTGAGGCCAGAGTTCGAAGGTGGGAATTGAACGCTGCACTTAGATTCTGTGGCGGGTGAAGCGGACCAGAGAACGGCTTGACTACAAGGACCACGTGTGGCTGGCTGGAGGCTGTGGTTTAGAGCTACAGTGGATTCTTCCTTGGCCCACTTTCTCTGTGGAAATTAGCTGTTAGGCAGAGGGGCAGAGTGGATGTTGACATTGGATTTTATTTTTAGGATCCCCAAATCGGAGGCGCTTTGGTCCCTACAAAGAAATACTTACGGCCACAAAGACTTTGCTTACTATTTAATCTGTGTACTTAAGCAAAAACTGAATCCAAAAACACACAGTCAGCAAATCAGATTCTGTACATGTTACAAGTCAAAACGCTTACACAATGATTACAAACCAATTAAATACTGAATATTTTAATGAAATCGCAAGTCTAATAGGCCAGCTCCTTTAAGAGCTTTGAACATTTTGATAAAGCAACAACATCGCTACAAGCATTACACAAGGTTTTGTGTGTGGGCATGTGTGGCAGAGTATAGGTAGCCCAGGCTGGCCTTTAACTCCTGCTTCTGCTTCAGTACGGGAGTGCTGAGTTTATAGGTGTGTACCATCACGCTAGGCTGGCTTGTCCAGTTTTTTAAAAAATTTATTTGTTCTTATTTTATGTGTATTGGTGTTTTGCCTGTATGTGTGTCTATGTGAGGGTGTCAGATCTTGGAGTTATGAGTTTGTGAGCTGCCATGTGTATTGAACCCAGGTCCTCTGGAAGTGCAGTCGGTGCTCTTAACAGCTGAGCCATCTCTCCAGCCCCATGGATTGTCCAGTTTTAAACCTCCACTCCTACCCTCATAAAAGCTAGTTTGTAGATTATGAGATGGATACTGTCTCACTCAGATCAAGTTTTGAATTTGGTTTTCACATTCAAAAAAAGAGGGACACACAGCTGTGTGGCCTAAAGATAAGCTAGTATGTCTGGGTCAAAAGAAAAGAGGGGTATTCTCTCCACGCCAAGGAGTTCTGGATGGGCAACTAGTGGATTCTTGGTTGGGTAGGAACTGATTTACCATCTAAACTGATAAAAACCTGTGTATGTGTGTGTGTATGTGTGTGTGTGTGTATGTGTGGGCGTGTGTGTATGTGTGTGCGTGTGTGTGTATATGTGTGCGTGTGTGTATGTGTGTGCATGTGTAAGCTGGAGAAATGGCTCAGTGATTAAGAGCCTGGTGCTCTCGCAGAGGATCTGTTTAGCTCACGTTACACATGGTAGCTCACTGCTGGCTGTAACTCCAGTCTTAAGGGATCTGACACTCTCTTCGAGCCTCTGAGGGAACTGTATGCATGTGGTGCAAAGATAAAACGCCCATGCAAATAAGATAAAAGTAAACTAAAAAAACGAAACAAAACAGAACAGACCTGCTGGTGTTGACCTTCTTGGGTATCTCAGACTCACATCCTTCCACGCAGTGGGTCAATTGTGTCAAGTGTTTTTCTCAACATTCAAGGTCTGTGGTATGCAGACATCTCAGTGCCTATACCCTAATCACCAAGACATTCCAATACGCTGTTCCATGGAATGGGGACTTTGCATATACACTGCAGGTGGGGACCTTAAAGCAGAAAGATTGTTTTGTGTATTCTGGGTAGGGCTAGTCTAAGCACTGAATCTTCAAACTCCAAGAATTTTTCTCATGGAAGTCAGAAACGCGGAGCAGGTATTGGTCGGAGAGAGTGAAAGGTGAAAGGGTGGGGCTGGACCTAGAGCTTTTGGCTAGAAAATGGAGAAGCCTGGGGACCTCAGCGCCACAACTCTAAGGAGCTGGATTCAAAAAGAGTTTGGAAGTGGCTTCTTCCCTTCTAGTGAGGAAGGCTGCTGCCTTCCACCTTATTTTTGACTTTGTGAAACCTCGATCAGAGAATAGTCACACTCTGTGAGACTGCTGACATACAGAAATGGCAATAAATAAACAGCGTCTTAAGCCACTTGGTGTTTGCAAGAGCTGATCTAGTCTACTGTATCTTGAAAATCTTCCAATGTTCAATTACTCTTCTTCCTTACTTTTAGCTGGACATAGTCCCCTAGAGTAAAGTCTATGGGTTATGGAGATGGCCCAGGGGTTAGAACACCTTCTGTGCAAGCCTGATAACCTTAGAATCCACATATGAACTGGCCATAGCCCATGCACCTGTAACCCTTAGAATCCACATACGAGCTGGCCATAGCCCATGCACCTGTAATCCTTGTGCTCCTAGGGGAAGATAGAATTCCCAGAAGCTTCCAGATGAGCTAGCCTGGTGTACACAATGATACATTAGAGTCACTGTCTCAAACATGGTGGGAGGCAAGAACCAACACCCAAGGTTGTCCTCTGACTCTCTCTCTCTGTCACACACACACACACACACACACACACACTATTGCAAAAAGTTAAGATTGTTTCCTAGCCTGTCCTGGCATGGTGTGACCAAGTGTGAGTATATTCTGGCAAGGAGATACACTCAGAAATGGTGTATGCAGCTGTCAGAAAACCTCCTAAGGAGCGGATTCTTTCTTCTTCCTATCCAGGGCTGCTGGGCTGATGTAGTTGTTGAAGCTCAAGAAGCCATCCTGGGCCACAAGGTGTCATGCCAAGGACAACAGAGCTGCAAAGAGGGAGCCTGGGCTTTTGTGAGCAGCTGTTCATCCTGGACTCCCTGCCCTGCTGCAGACTCTTCCATGTGAGACAGTATGATCTCTTACCTTGTTTAAACTATTCTTCCTGGTCACACGGGTATAGACAAATGCTGAAGGAAAATGCTCCCCCCTCTTTCTTACCCATTCCCCACCCCGTACCCCAGCGCTGGAGTTCAAACCTGGTGCCTCTGAGCTACACCGCTAGCCTGCCTCCCTCCGTCCCTCCCTCCTTCCCTCCCTCCCTCCCTCCCTCCCTCCTTTTCTCCTTGCTCCTGGTATTTATTTAACTTGAGGACTATTATAGCCTTTAAAAAAATTGACATTTTCTCTTCCACAAGTCATATGTGCTCCAATCCTGTAATGCCTGCTCCAAACTGCATCCTCACCAAAGTGAGAAGTCCAGGTCTCGCCGACCACAGTTCTCCAGACAGATCCATTCATGCTGGACCACTGGGACAATGGATACAACGGATGAAAGAGGGTTTCTGACGCTGGAGGAAGAGCAGCTAGAGGGGCGAACCATGGCTTCCTCAGTAACAGGAAACTTAAGAAGGAGAATAAGACCGTATGGATCGAAGGAAGAGTGATTAGCGGTAGGGACAGGCTGTAGGTGCAGAGAAGGTAGCTGAGAGACAGCTGGAGGAAGTCAGCAAGAGTGGGGAGTGACCGAAACTCAGATTTCAAAGGTGGGGCAGTTTTAGGAATTAGCCAAGGAGGACACATGGTCACTGAAATGTTGTTCCATGGCTCGTATGTGACCTTTGACCGTGCCTCCAGCTCTGTATACCTGCTCTGGTTTTGTCTGTTGGTCAGAGCAAACGCACACACGCATGCACACACGGTCAGGAAATGAGGGTCAGAGTCCATTGGGACCTGGCACTGATGGATGGCAGGATTCCTGCCTGCTGACTGTCCCAGGTTATTTGCAGAATGTTTACCATGTTCAGGGTAGGCACATGCCCTCATCCTATCTCTTCAGCTACGGATGCTCTGGTGGCCCTCCCCACACTTCTTTTTATGGTTGGGCTGTCAGCCCCTGTTAGTATGGTGCTGGCTGAGATCTCTCATGCTGGCACTCCTAACAGGATGGAGTCTGCAGGTACTATGAGGCTGGTCCATCTGGGTCCCTGTGGGAGCCTGTCAGGCTTACCTGTGCCACCTGTCACCAAATAACACTGAGCAGGAAGCCAGGGCGGAGAACAGGAGGAGTGGAGTGGAGTCTGTGAAGTCGTACAGGCTCTCCTCTTGCCAATCCTGCTCTAAGCCAGAACTGCAGGCAGGCGAGGGGCAGCAGAGGCTGGGCGGGCAACTGGAGTGGTGGGGGTTGAGGAGTGATGCATCTAGAAAATCCATAGCTCTGTTCTTCTATGCTCTTAGCCTTGGGTGTTTGGCATAGGATCTCATGCAAGAAGGTGGGCTATAGGCAGCCTGAGGGGGCCTTTCTCTTGCTCCAAAGACGCTTGTTTCTGGAGCAAGGCAGGGCAGGACAGAGCAGGGCAGGGCAGGGCAAGGCAGAAGACCAGATGCTAAATATCTGTCTTTTAAAGGCTTGGGTTCTCAGAGTGGGAAGATGAGGAAGCCAGAGAAGCTTGAGTACTTCCAGCCACCCAGAAGATTCCCCCGACGAAGGCGCAGGGACACACGGTCCCCAGGGTCCAGGGGAAGCAGCACAGAGCTCGTGGCTGCCTCTCGGGTCACATCAGGGTCATTGGCAAAGGCTGAGATGACCGGCCATGTATTCAGCATCAGGCTCACCTGAGGAGGGGAGCTCAGTTAGCTCCTATTTCGTAGCCCTTAGCTCAGGACCCTCATCTTTCCAAGGACTTCCTTTTGGGAACCTGAGGCTTAATGGGCTCTCCTGTGAGGGCTGAGGGGTGGCCTGTGTTGGGCTCTGCACATCTGCCATACCCTGCTAGGCAGGACCTTTCCTCCCTTGCTCATGGTCCCCAGGATACAGGTCAATAGAAGAGCTGCCCAGCGATGTGCTTATGACCCTCCCTTCCCCGGGAGATGGGGCTGATACTCTGGTCACCTGGACAGTTTGGCGGTTGTACACCTTTACCACGTGGAATCGGAAGCTGTAGACTCCACGGACAGGGGCCACGAAGCAGCCTGAGGTCCGATCAAAGCCACCACCCTCATTCACCAGCACCTACAGGGAGCAGATCCTGTTGAGTGGGATCCAGGGTGCCTGGGGCTCAGGCGCATGCGTCACTGAGGTTGGTGTTTGGGCAATGGGTAAGGACAAAAGGGGTGGCAAGCAAGTGCGACGGGAATCTGTGGATTCGAAGATTAGGAGAAATGGCGAAGAAAGGTTGTGTGTATGAGTGAAGGAAGGCAAACAGTCGGTGGCCATCTTTGGTGAAGGTGTGCCAAGAGATGCAGGAAATGGTTTTCTTGAAGTCTGAGGGCTGCAAAGTGGGCTTGGACGGTAGAGTCCAGGTCCTTGCAGGTCCTCTGCATGGGGCAAGGGTATTACCTGGTCAAAGTAGATGGCACCAGTGGTGCCATTGCCGGTTTCCCCTGCTGGTTCATGGTGATGGCTTCGGACTGCAGCAAACGCCACTCTTCCTGGAGGTGCCTCTCCCAGGGCTGCTCCCCCAGGTCCCCCTGCAGCAGGTCGACCTGGTTCACAGACCACCAGGCACTCTCCCTCCAGCAGGACAGGCTCTGACCCTTCTTGAGCCCACCCAGCCCCTAGGGTCAGAAGCACCAGGGCCAAGGGCAGCTTGTGGTTGTGCCATTGAGTTCCCATCGTTGCCCGGGACTCTGTATTCACAGGTTTCCCTGTCTTCTGGCTCCCTTTTGCTCTCCTTCCCCTGCTTCAAGCTTTCAGAACCTCTAGCTCCGCTCCTCTGTCCTCCCTATGGGTCCGTCACCTAGTTTGGGCACCCCCTTCCCTATAGAGCTCTGCCTGGCCTCTCCTTACTCCTGCTGTCACTGCAGTTCCCTCCTCCTTGGCAAAGCGTGGAGTGACAGCAGTTGGGCTCGGGGAGGGAGAAGAGGCACGGAGGCAGGACACGCCTGATTCTGTAGCAGGGAGGCCAGAGAGTGGGTGATGGAGAACAACCACACACACACACACACACACACACACACACACACACACACGACGAAGTTTCTTTAGCTCCTTCCTCATCTTCTCCTTTTCAGAACTCTTCACAATCTGTCTTTCTCTGTAGAATCTTTTTTTGTTGTTGTTAATGTTGGAAAGTGTGTCCTTATCTTTCCCCACAATCTACTTGGCGAAAGTGCTTGGGCCAAGGGCAGTATTCTCTTGTCACTCTGGGCAAGTCACTTTCCCTCTTGGAACCTTCAACTGAGCAGAACACGCAAGGACCCCCCAAGAACGGGAGGCGAACGTGAGAGTCGGCTGGAGGCGTTGGGGTGGGGCTGGGGTTGGGGGTGGGGACAGAAGTGTTGGCTACCCGTAGGCCCGGCAGGGGAGCGGGGGACGTGGAGGGCGAGTCAGTGGGCCGCAGGGCAGCAGGCGGAGCCCGGGAGGGCGGGCGCGGGAGGAGACGGCAGCGCAGCCCTGGCGGGGGAGGAGCCGGTCTGACTCCGCCCCAGGCCGGGAAGTGACTCCAAAACCAGAACGCGTTGTTGACGACCGGGGTGTAGGTTGGGTGGGACGCCGAGGAGGCCCTCCCAGATTCGGGTCCCCAGCCCCAGCCCCCTGGGGTGAGGGAGAAGCGCGGGGACCCCGGGCCCCTAGAGGAACAGCGGGACTCGCGGCTTTGGCGGTAGGCACGCCCCTTCCCGGCGATCGGGAGCTGGAGGCCGAGGCCGGAGGGTGATCGGGCTGGTGGGGGGGGGGGGCGGCCACTACGGCAGTCTGTGAGAGGGCGGGCCAGGCCCCGGGTCCTGGGTGGGACTCTTAGCGACGCACGTCTCCGAGAAGAGAGGCGGGAGGTAGGAGTGGCTAGAGAAAGAACACTGGGCAAGGGCACCCCCTTCCCAGGACTACCCAGTTAGTTACAGCCTCCGGCGAGTAGTTGTCTCTGGAGAGGCTCTTTTCTATTCAAAACTTGTAGAGACCTCTGAGCTTTGGGAATCTTTCCTCACCCACCCACTTCTTACGACTCTCGACTCTCAGAATGAGCTGGAGGCTCCTTCACGGAACTCCCCCTCTTTGGGCGGTGGTCATCTGTGTCCTGAGGCCGGTCGTCTATCCCCTATAGCCTTGTTTACGAAGGACTTCCTTTCCGGGAGAGGCCTGTGGATAGATAATTTTCTAACCTCTCTACCTCCGAGGTGGCAGTGCTACCTCCTGGGGTTGTTTACCGGTGCTGTGACTAGGTGCGACTTGTTGATTGTGGGGGTGTAGGCCGTGTGGTTGAGATTTGGGCTGAAGAGAGACAGAGACTTTGAGCTTGCCTCTGCTCTTCCAGGACCCCAGGAAGAAGCCATGTCTACTTGCGGGTTGGCTTCCCCGACTCCTGACCGCTTTGCGGTGTCTGCGGTGGCAGAGGACAAGGTTCGGGAGCAGCAGGCTCGCTTGGAGCGTATCTTCAGCGTGGGAATGAGCATCCTCTCCAAAGACTGCCCAGAGAACCCTCATATCTGGCTGCAGCTTGAGGGCCCCAAGGAGAACGTCTGCAGAGCCAAGGTGAACTCCTCTCCCACGTCCTTTTAGGACCCCGCCCCTCCCCTAGGCAGATTCGGAGGAGCGGCTGGGCAGGATTTCTGCCTCTGCTATCTTACTGACTGCTTCTGTCCTGAGCTTTGAGGAACTCAGCAGTTATTTTTTATGTAGAATTTTGGTTTCACTTCTGCCCTGTTGGCCCAGGTACTGCAGGCATTTGGAAATAAATTACTTTGTGCCCTTGGGGATAATAGAGCAATGGCACAGCAGGTGGCCCTTGCCTAGGAATTCACTGGGAGTGAGTGGGTGTGGCAGGGGGTGGCCACATTTCTTTCTTTGGCCTCGAGGAGTTCTGATACAGCTTCACCACTTGACAGCCTTCTGATCTAGTCTTAAATTTCCTTGTGTCTACAATGGGAATAATAACAGTATCTACTTGGATGATGCATGCGCTTGGAGCTCAGGGAGAACAATGAACCTGAAGGAGATGGCTTCTAGAAGGTTCCCCTCTGACCTTCCCATCTAGGAATACCTGAAGGGGCTCTGCAGCCCAGAACTGCAGAGTGAAATCCGCTACCCACCCAGACTGCACTGCGTCTTTCGGGGAGCCCACGGCTTCTTCCTTGACTGCCTGGCTTGGAGCACATCTGCCCACCTGGTGCCCCTGGTTCCTGGCTCTCTGATGATCAGTGGCCTAACGGAGGCATTTGTGATGGCTCAGAGCCGGGTGGAGGAGTTAGTGCAGCGGCTGAGCTGGGATCTTCAGCTGCAGTCTTGTCCTGGAGCCCCTGCCAGTGCTGGAGTGCTGAGAGACTTCTCTGCTCTGCTGCAGACTAGGGAGGATGTCTACATGGAGGCCCTGCTGCAGCTGCCTCTGGCTGTCCAGGAGGAGCTTCTAAGCCTGGCACAGGAGGCATCCGGAGAGCAGGGTCCACAGGTGCTGCCCTCTCCTGAGTGGCAGGGGAGTGGAGGCCTGTTGAGTGCTCCATTCCAGGGAGTTAGGGCTCCCTTGAGTCAAGGTGGGGAGTCCCAGGGTACTGGAGTGGTGGGGTCGGGAGATTCAAGGGCAGCAAGAGGAGAAAGACCTACTATGGAGAAGCAGGGAAGTAAACAGGAAGGTGTCAGGGACACACATTCAGGGAGGAAGGAGCCCTCTGGGGAAGAGATCTGGGAGAGAGGAGTGGCTTTCAAGTCACAACCAGTAGGTGGAGGAGCAGAGGCACCATTGAAGGGAAAGGCCTTGGGGAAGGAGGAGGTTCCTCAGCAAAGAGGAGGGTTCAGTATGCAGGGTGACTCTTCTGGTGCCCATGTGCCCTCTCAGAGGGCAGCTCAAACTCGGGGAGCCTCTCTCCTCCAGCGGCTCCATAATGGGAGCATGTCACCTCCCAGAGTACCTAGCCCTCCACCTGCGCCGGAACCCCCATGGCCCTGTGGAGACCGAGATCGGGGAGACAGGGGAGACAAGCAACAGGCTGGGGCTCGAGGTCGAGGGTCTAAACGAGGCGCTCGAGGGGGCAACTTGGTGACTGGCACACAGCGTTTCCAGGAAGCCTTACAGGACCCTTTCACCCTGTGCCTTGCTAATGTGCCCGGCCAGCCAGACCTCCGTCATATCGTCATTGACGGCAGCAACGTAGCCATGGTGTAAGTAGCTGGGGGGGTTGAGCTCTGAGGAGGGGTCTGTCCTGGAGACATCTGCCGAGGGGCTGGTCGTGCAGCCTCCTCCTGTGGGTCCTGAGCGTTGACCCTCTCCGTTGCAGGCATGGCCTGCAGCACTACTTCTCAAGCCGGGGCATTGCTCTTGCTGTGCAGTACTTCTGGGACCGTGGGCATCGTGACATAACTGTCTTTGTGCCCCAGTGGCGCTTCAGTAAGGATTCCAAGGTCAGAGGTAAGTTGGGTCTGGCGATCTGTGTCCTGGGTCAGGCCATGTCTACCTTGAGGAGAACCCTGTTGTATCTTGTTCTGTAGAGAGTCACTTCCTGCAGAAGCTGTACTCCCTGAGTCTGCTTTCCCTGACACCCTCACGAATCATGGATGGCAAGAGGATTTCTTCTTATGATGACAGGTATTTGCTCCTCCCCTGGCCCCCAGTTTTATTGAAGGAGTCTAGTGGGACTTTGAGCAGGAGAGAGATGCTCCTGACCTCTGTCTTCCAGCTTCAGTAGTGGAGTTAGTTTCCGTGGGACACATGATGGGGTAGGTAAGTCAGCTCTGCAGGTGACACGAGAGGGCCTGTGGACAACTGTGTTGGCCTGCTCATCATTCACCTTGTATTTATAGAAAGTGCTTTACTGTCTAGAAAATGCTCTGTAACGGAGAGCCGGGAAGGCTGATGACATGAATGGCTGGCAGAATTTCCAAACATGTAGAGAAATTCTTTGAACATTCTGGGAAAATCTTCAAAATACATAAGATGTAGAAACACAATCTTTGAATACTAGGACTGCCTAGAACACAGTTCCGTGAGAGACCACCAGTCTCAGAATGGAACAGAATGTCAGAATTAGAGCTCCAGGCTTCAGTAGTGATCTGCTTTCTCTATGGCCTTGACCCCACCTCTTAGTGAATCAACCTCTTTGTCTCAGGGTCCTTCTCCATTCATTCACCCTCCTTGTGAATATCAAAAGAAGATAAGGTATGTGCTTACCTCAGTCCTGGTGCTAAGCAAGAGTCCAGTGACGGTACCCTCTTAACCTTTGCATGGGCCCAATTAAGTGTTGCATGAAGCTGGGTGTGGTAGTCACACCTGTAATCCCAGCACTTGAGAGCCCGAGGTAGGATAATCCCCACGAATTTGAGACCATCATGAGCTACAAAGTATGTTCCAGGCTGGCCTGGACTACAAAGTGAGACCCTGTCTCAATAAACTAAAAAGAAGAAAGACAGGAGAAGGGTGATGCCTGCATTTACCTCTATTTACAGAGGTAGATACAGAGGGTAAGTGGTCAACTCCCTTGACAGAGGTTACCATATAGGCTAGACAGAAAACGTAGGGTATACTTCTGCTACACTTGTGCACACATGGTGTGGAAATATACACACTTTAAAACTGATTAGCTATTTTAAACCTTTCTATTTTGTGTAAAATAAAAAAATCTTATGTGTAGTAGTGTTTTGCCTGTATGTATGTATGTGCACTTTGTGCATGCCTGGTGTCCAGAAAGTCCAGAAAAGTCCAAAAAAGCAACTTTAAGGAGTGTTTATTTTAGCTCCCTGTTTCAGGTTACAGTCCATTATAGCTGGGAAGTCACAGCAGCAGGACCTTATGGGAGCTGGTCACATCACATCCATAGTCAGGAACAGAGAGCAATGACTGCATAAATGGTAGTGTTCAGCTTGCTTCTGCTGCTCATGGGATCCAGA